CAAGTTACCATAATTGCATATTGATCAGTACTCTTGGAGGTAAGGGACAAACTTGATGTCGGATTTCCAGCCTGCAATTGGGATGATTGAGAATTTCTTTCTCCACAAGCCTTTATATTCCTCCACATAGAAGTTGCTGGTTTGATAATAAAAGAGTGCTCTTCGTTTCTCCTGCCACAGAGAAGCTCCGCACTTTTTTTAACAGAAGAAAGAGAGAAGCTCTACATATAATCACCTTTTCAATTACCATATAAAAATGAAAAGAACGGCACAAATGCAAATATTTTCTCATACCAAAATGATTCATTAGAAATAATCTGATACATTGGAAGGTCACAATTATCACTTAATGCAATCAAATCCTTTCAATCTTGAATAATATTCTACTCAATTTTGAAATCACACTGTAAAATTTACTCCTCACTAGGGAAAATAGTACTTAGTGCCTCCTGTCAGACACAAATACAACAAGCAACCACAAAAGCGAGCCATAACCAAACTTTTCTATGAGTTCGCAACACAGAAAATAGAAAGTTCATTCTCTCCTTTCAGATATGCAAGCCACCACTTTTTTGGTACGGCAGATGCACAACAACCAGGAAAATAACTGAAGCATGAGAAATTTAATGAATAGAATATCTTTTGAGTGGATGACAACCTGAGGGCTAAATTTGGTACGCTGTGTTCATTCCCTGCTTCTATGCAAGCAATTGGTAATGATGAGGGAAGTCCATCCTTTGATGCCTCTTCAAAAACAATTGTAATAGCATCAATATATATTATGATATCTGGTATATGAGCTGGAGACACATTCTACAAAACAAAAAAATGTAACTCTGTAAAAAAAAAATGCACAAAAAACATTCTGGGAAATACTTGAGAAGCATAATATCAACGATACATATATAACCATATCATGTACTCATTATGACTTTATAAAAAAAAGATTTAATGCATCACACCTTAATTTGAACGCACAAAAGGTCATCCGTATTGCAATCAGCAGCAAAAGACTGGATTTCAACAGGATGAATAATTTCAAGTTTTCTCCTCCATCGCCTTCCAGGAATATGAATTCCTTTCAGTCCACAACAAACGGAAAATCTCTCTTGCTCCAAAGAGATACCTCGGAAAGATAAAAGGTCACGAACCCCAAGTCTTTTTCTCTTTGAGGACTTCTGAGGTGAGAACTGATCCCAGTTTTCAAGTTCAAAGCTTGGCTTTGAACTTGCAGATTTAATGGGTGCAGGAGGTGGTGCAGTATTGTGAGGTATAGAGGACATAGAGTAACTTCTAAAATGGACCAAAGAGAAGAGTTGAGAGCCAGATGAAGCAGACGCATTTGACTTCTGAGAAGTGCCACTGATTCCTGCATTGGGAATTAAAAGGGGAGGAGATAGAGGGCGGGTAATAGGAGGAATGGTGTTATCCAGAGGAAGCAACCATTTCATCAATTCTCCATATGGATCCAGACTTGAATAACCTAAGCCATCCTGATTCTCAAATGACATTGTCCGCTCTTGGTACTTCTCAAATTGAAGAATTTCCAATACTGGATCTCTCAATATATCAACACCAACATTCACATGTAAAAGCACCTGCATCCTTCCCACAAGAAGAGAGAATGAGAATCAGTCGTTAGAAAGAGACTTGAAATTGATACTGACATCAGTAGCAGGGATCTGATATGGGCATAAAAGACTCTGAAAATGAATGTGATGATATCAGATGAACTACAAACCACTAATCTGACGGAAGGAAATTTTATATGAAATAAAAGAAATGTTGCACCAAATACAGATCAAGACCGCTTGCAATTTAGGCTTTACATGAAATAAATTGGAAACAGTCAAGTATTTATCCTGAAATAGAGCAGACATCAATCCAATGACACAATAGACAATAAGAATTGTTCATGCTAGCAGTTAATGCTGACTATGCAGTTTTCATGGATGCAAGCACATCTTTCATGTCTACTGAACAGGTTGCATCACAGAACAACTAATCTTGACATATATACAAAATATATAGAAAATTCTAATCTTTGGGATCAAAATGCAAGTATGATAAATCTGAGTATTAATTGATTCGTACAAAAGGTGGACAGTGTATTGCAGGATGAACACATCGGTACTTCTTGGGGCCTACTACTGCAGTGTAAAGGCTCACGATTAAAAGAGGGACATAATATTTGAAATGTTCAAGTAAAAATTTTTGCAAGCATGCACGGGAACTCCAGAAGCTTTGTAATACATACCACTATGCTTCCATCAGAAAGAGAGCAGCACTTAAAGGTACCTCTTGCAACGCCACCAGAGACATTGGAACCAAAATTTCCTTGATCAGCATTTAAGCTAGAATTAACAGTGCTTTCACCCACCACTTCACAGTCACTATGCTTGTTAGGAAATATTTTCTTTGACCAAAGGAGATCACTAGACTCAGCAATTCTTACAAAAAAGTGAGAGTTCTTAAATCGTTGTAACAATGTTTCTGTTTGACGCCTGTGATCTTCCATTCTAAGAAGAGATTCACTAGCAGAAACATCCTCTGATGAATCAATCTTCTCACTTGATAGATTTTCACCATTTTGAATTGTACTTTGGTCCGGACTTGGCCGCCTTTCCCCGTTTGTGGAATTAGTTCCATCATCCATGTTTCCATTTTGTTTTTTAGGACTGTGCCCTTTTCCATGTTTACTCAAAACTGCTGCAACTTTAAAAGGAGTGATAGTTGCTGTATCCTGTTTATAAGCAGATAAGCATGCCAAGATACATATTTGTTCACCTGTATGAAGGGCAGAGTTAAAGTACCATACAGATAACACAGCATTTCTCTTATCTGGAGATGCACATCGATTGAAAACAAAATAAACAAGACATCAAAAAGTATATGTACCTGGGAAGACAAAAGATCTGTCCTTACTGCGTAACGAATGTACATCTGATGCATTTCTCCAATCACTAGGAAGATCCTCTAGGAAAGAATATCTGAGTATTAGCTTTCCTTCGCGAAATAGAAGGGAAAGGGGAGCATGTATCAATCACATAAACAGTCTAGCCATGTTAGCCATTCTAAAACTCAGGATTCAGAAATACTAAACATACATTTTGTAAAAGAACCATAAGAAGATCATTAACAGATTATGCAATCTGATTCACATCATACGAATTCGTAACTAAGTTATGGCCCTATTAAAATAAGAATCTACACAATCTCGCAACTTGAAACACTAACAATGATAAATGTTATCTTCTTTCAACATAAATCATAGTACAAACACAATATACAGTGTGTTAAGCACACGAGAAGAAATTGATCACCATTTTATGAAACTAGACCGTAATGTATAAGCATCGGTGATACATTCATGCACGATAACACATTAACCAATAATCAAATTCAGACATATTAGTGAACTGAAATAACAAGCACGCACTGCATGGAATGGTAATCCACCCTTCTTCCTCGGAAACATCAGAGTGCTTCCCTACACTAGCACAGCCGCTGTTCTCCTTATTACCAGCAATACTTCCATTTTCACCGGCAGATGCATCGACCTCATCGTCAATATCATCAACTACAGAATATTGCGGAAATGGCATTTCAGAAATCAGACTCTCCAAAGTTATTGCTGGTTTTGGCGCGTAAGAAGCAACTGGAGGAGGAGTTTCTTGAACAGATGGTCGCTCTGCAGGCACGGCAGGAGTAGATCTAAGTAGAAAATTCATTATTGCACTAACAGAGTATCTGCAAAATCAAGACGCGTCCCGTAAACTCGTAGTTGGATATTGAATTTGATCGATCATGCCATTAGTCAATCATTAAGCATGCAAGGCAATGAGAAATGAAAAATGACTCGGTGAAAACAGGCGGTCCTCGGGTCTAACTGATCGGAGATCGAACCGGTGAAGCTCTGTTAGCGAAGTGGAGGATAGATTCAGTGGTGGCGGAGCACCGGACATAAGCAAATCGTTGGCCGGGCCTAACATACTTTCTCACCACGGCACCAATGGCCCATTTACTATGGGCTAGCCTTTGTTGCACAGAGCTCCTTCGAGCCCAATACATTGGAACTTTTTCCCATTATGCCCCGCCCATTTCATTTTTTTCTTTCCATCATTTTCAAAAAATTACATATAAAAATTTAACATTTTATAGATTTTTGAAACCTTGGCATGGACGATTGCTCATTAAAAAAAAAAAAAATGTATATTTTAAAATTAAATTATCGATTTTTATAATTTTAATTTATTAATAGAAAATTAAAATATAACCAAATTAAGGAGTGAGCTTTAAAAAAAAATTAATTAATTTCGGTTGAAAATTTTATATGAACCACGACCCCAAGGAATTTTCGTACCTCAAGGTCCAATTACAAAGACGAGAGCCAAGAAACTACAACAAACCTTATACACGCATATTCAAGCTATGATAAGCTCATCAGAGAAAATTCTAAAAGACGTTAAAGACCCCTTATATATTGTGCAAAGTTACACTTCAAGAAAAAAGATAACTAAGTGCAAGTTTCAGTTGCATTAATAATCTCAGCTTAATTTAGTCGAAACTAGTTCAAGATGACTGATAAGCACATTTTCATTCTTTACACTATTTAATTATAATTTAAATATTTGTTTCATATTTAAGCTAGTTTTAAATATAGGAGTTAAAGATTATATGGTAACGGTTACCATATTCGATCCTATTTTAATACAGAGGCTATGAGTATTTCTCATTTATTAGCTCATTTAATTTATGAGTTATGTATCACATAAGTAAAGTCTTCCTTTCTTTGATTAGACTTTGTGGAGTGATTCGAATTTCTTGATCTTAATCATCAAGGTAATCCATTTCATATTTTCCCTTGGATTGATTTTCATATCAAAATTGTTGAGAGGGAATTGAGTAGGATTGTGAGTTTATAGGTAAGAAAGTTATCTCCATTAATACTATTAAAATTTATGCTTAAAATATAGATAATATTGTAATAATCAAATATATTTCAATTTCAAGGTCAGAATCATATAATGTGACTAGGGGTTTGGATAAGATCCACATTGCATCCGGCGTCGGCCAGCTCTTTTGCTTTTGTTCTCTTCCCATCTTCGTTTCGACGAGAAATGGTGGAAATCTTGTTTCCCATTTACGTGGAGATTCTCTGTCCCAATGATCGTGACTACAATCGACGGAAACTCTCGAATTCCCCTGTTTTTCGGTAATTCTGCGGCACCGCACCAAGAAACTTATTCCCTGATCTTCATGATTTATATTTTTGTAATATTATTGATACAATTTAGGAGTAATCTTTCTTGAATCTCTTCTGGCCATATGTGGGGGCAATTATCAGCCAGAAACATTATGTGGCAGTTAAATCTTCGCGAATTCGTGAACAGCGATGGTTTTGCTTTCGTTTTCTTCATTAAAGGTGCGGACTATAACTCTGAGATTTTTGGCAAATTCATTTACTGAATCATTTGATAATTCCGCATGGAATGCAATGAAATGTGGTTTTACAGAATTTGTTGCTAAGATTGTTGCAGATTCTCTTGGGATGGATTATGATTAAAGTTACATGTTCTTTATTTTGACTTCATTTTTTTAGGTTATCTTCATTAGGTGGCCCCCCAGGTATGCTATGCTATCCACTAATCTCGATATTGCTATAGTTCTAGCTGATTGTTATGTTGAGGATTGTTGGGAGGGAGTCCCACATTCGTTAATTTAGAAAATCATCATAGGTCTGTAAGTAAGGAATACATCTTCATTGGTACGTGACCTTTTGGGGCTATGTTCAAAGTGGACAATATTATACCATTGTGGAGAATCGTGATTCCTAACATGTTATTCATCAGTAACAAGATTCAAACACGAGATTGATAATAAGATTCAAACACAGACATTCAATGAAAAATTTACTCTCCCATTCTATCTCATGCCAGCTGAAAGATGAGATCATTTGCAGTATTTATGAATGTGTTAGAATAATGGGATGTAGTTCACCTATATGGGATGTAGTTCAAACACGGGAACCTGTATGTATTATTGCATCACATATACATATATATATATAGTTCACCTATTGTTGTGATTTTGGTCTGTACTTGTACTGCATTGCCCAAAATAGGTAGTGCACAAAATTTAATCCGCTGAGCACACACATCAACCAGTAGAATCTCTCAAGGTGATAATGGTTTATGTTTGTTCCAGATAGCCATGGATGGTGATTGGAGTTACCTGTGACGGTGTTGACGATCGATACGATCACTGAGCTAAGGTAGTAGCCCATAGCCAGAGAAGCCCAGGAAAGAGATGTGGCCAAGGATCTCATGCTTGCAGGTGCTTCTGTGAAGAAAAATTCTAATGATCCAGCCAAGGAGAAAAGATCTGCTGATCCAAGAAATAAGTACTGGATGGCGATCCAAAGGAATGTGATGGGCAATGGTTGAGCAGAGTCGAGTAGACCATTTCCGGTGGCTACTCTCTTGCGCTTCGTCTCAACAGCTGCTGCAACTGCCATGGCTCCAATAGAGAAAACTAACCCAACTCCTATCCTTTGGAGATGAGTGATTCCCATTTCGGTTTTCGTTATCCTTCGAGCAAATGGGATGACTATGTGATCGTATATTGGGGCGAGGAACATAATGAAGAGAATAGGGAATATGGGGAGAGATGCAGGTGGAACTTTAAAGGAACCTATTTTGGTGTCCATTGTTGATGCTTGTTCAACTGAAAATGTAGAGAGCTGAGCCACACAGCAGTTGAGGATGATAGTGCAAGCAAATATTGGTAGAATTTTCAACACAATCTTCACTTCTTCAACTTCTTTAACTGTACATTCTAATGCTGAGTGGAATGGCTTTTTCAGAACTGCATTATTTAGAAACTTGAGACTCTCTGATGGTTCATCCACAACATCTGTTGAATCTCTTCCTTTTGCATTCTGTTTAGCTTCTTTTCCATCAAGAGCTGGACTCATCGCCATACTCGCTATCGAGTTTCGTGAGTTCGGGCTAACACAGCAACCGAACGTTGCAGCTACTAAGACCTGATGATCAGTCAAAACACCAAAAGCTGATTCAGTTAACTTCATTTCTTGTCTCAAAGTATTCCCTGCATTTTTATGGTAGAACTACCTTGCTAATTGTTGTGAATGGACTTCCATTAGGTATTTTGTTGCGGTAAAGAGGGGAGCCTGCAAAGAAGACAACCATGGACAAGAATATGCTGAGCATTGAAATTCCAAAGCCCCACTCCCACCCTTTGTTGTCTTCGACCCACACCACCAATGTGACTGCAATAAGCCCACCACATGACAGACAAAACACGAAGTAGTTGAAGAAAGTGGATCTCCTTTTCCTGCCCTGTGGGTTACTGTCATCAAACTGCTCAGCCCCATGCGACGGCAGCGACCCCTTTATGCCACCGACGCCCAACGCCACCAGATATAGCCCGGCAAACAACATGGCTGCTTTTCCACCACTCGCTTCTTGGCACATGGCGGTGTGGTTTGCTTGATGATCGCATGGAGGAGGCTTCAGCGATGGCATCTTTGCTTGTATCACCAATATTGCCAACCCCTGGTCAAATGCTTGGCTTTAGACTTGGCTACTGAAGAAAATTAGTGTACTGTTTTCTTCAACTTTTACAATGAGTGTGTATCATTGGGTGGGGCCCGACCCAAATAGAAGGGGTACCCAAATATGATATGCCAATAAAGAAATTGCAATGATAGGGTGGTTGGTTGTAGTTAGAGCAAATGCAATCGGCCACGTGTCAGTACTTTACAATCCATACTCTCTATCAGAAAATGCACTGTCACAAATGTGGACACACTTGGTGCCACGTGTTTGATTTCGCTCGTCCTATTGGCTGCTACTTACCTATTTTATACGGACAATTTTGTATGTTATTATATCTATTTTTAAAAACTAAATATTTATCAAACGAGCTTATGTATCTCGAGATGCCTCTCAACCAACCAGAGAAGTTTATAAGGACCATAGCAACAAAATGTTAGACAAATACCATAAATGGACAACTATACAGATAAAGAATCAGAATGTCATTAATGTGGCACCTTCTGATTGGACGTTTCGAATTAGGGTGGAGGACCAATAACGTACCAAAGGGGACAAGACGAAAGGAGTAAACGAAAGAACACAAACAAGAAATACGACACATTCGTTGCACGATCGCAACTCGTTTTAGTGAATTACTCTAAAAATTAACCTCATTAATAAATCAATCAATCTGCCCATCCTCTAAAGTTCTTTCCCTTTTTTCACAACCATGAGGGCATCAACAGTTAGCTCGTGATCCACCTGCCCCCTTTTGTTTTTGTTTTCTTCTTACATGCATAAATATCTCGAACCAAATCTAAACCTAACCAGTTAAAAAAAAATGTATATCTTCGACTAAAATGTTACCAGTTAATAGCAGTTCAGCCTCTTTTACTTGTGTCGTTGAAGTAAAAAAAAAAAACGTCTTTTTCTCACTCGGGTTAGGGTAAAAAGAGTAAAAAAGTAAAAAAAAAAAAAAAAGGAAGTAAAAGAAAGAAAGGGAGAGAGGGATAATTACGAGCAATTGAATGGCAGCACTAATGAGGAAGATGAGATAAGAGGTGAAAAAGGCATCAGAAAGGAAGCCACCAAGGAGGGCAAGGAGAAAGGCAGTTCCCATGAAAGCTGTGACATTGTTAGCCGATTTTGATGGAGAAAAGTGCATGTAATGAGACAAATACATCACCAAATTGCTTGCATTTGCCAAGAACGCCAAATTCTCCAATATCTCCACAACTACAAAAAAAAAAAAAAAAAAAAAAAACACAAAAAAAAAAAAAAAAAAAAACACAAAAANACCCAATTCTTGAAACAACTTTGAGAATACCCAAATCAAAGGACGCTGCAATCATCCCCCCATGGCGGCCTCTCACAGCCGCCCTCTTCCGCCAGTCCACATACCCTTCCCATCTACGAATCTCAGCACTTTCCTGAACCCAACAACCAAAAACAATCCTTTAGAGAAAGGCATAAGATACTCAAAAAAGGCTATTGAAAAACAGAGACACCCACCATACTCTGTTTTGGGTTTGAATCTTGGCTGAAAAGCAGAGGGGATAAATGGAGGGATATTAAAAGATGAAAGGAGAGAGAAAGCTAGAAGAAGAAGATGAGAAGAGAACTGTGTAGAGCCTCTTCAGAAAATGACTTCCATTCCTCCAAGCACTTCATGCTGCCAACGAGAATATTTTAAAATTTTGAAACAAAATTCTTCCTTAGAGAGAGCTTTAATGGAGATATGCACATGGGAGGAGAGAGAGAGAGAGAGAGAGAGAGAGAGAGGGGGGGCTTGGGATTCTCATCTGGGATTGTTGCTTGGTTTGAAAGGGCTTACTTAAAAAACATCAGAAACAAAGAAAAAAAATAGACATTGGTAGACATAGAAGGCATCAAATCCCTCCACTCAATAAACACAATATATATATATATATATATATATATATATATATATATATTAATAATAATAATAACAAATTAAAATTTCTATTATGTAGAAAAGTTTCAATAATACTTATAAATTAAATAAAAAAAATTAATATATATTTAGGATCGGTGTAGAGTTTTAAGAGTAACATTAAAAATAAAGATAATCTACGAGGATTTTTTTTCGTATACTAACATTAATATATATATATATATATTAAAGATAAGAAGTTAGTATACTTTTTGAATTTTCCAAATAAAAATAAAAAAAATTAAAAAAACTAAGAGTAAAAAGTTTAAGGATATTATTGAAATTTTTGAATATTTAAGGTAGAAAGTTTAAGATTATTTATATTGATTTAGCGTAATTTTAAATATAAATTTATATATACCTTCTCGTTCAACTCGGTCTTGTGGGTTATGCTTCACATATTATTATTTTAGGGCATTTCCTAAAAGTTAAGCAACTTTCTCATAACCTTGTGTGCCACAATTTGTGGTAACACCCCCATTGACTTACACTGCACTAAGGGTGTTCTTGTCATTTATTTTAATTGGTATCAGTTCTTATTTTAAACTAATGTTTATTATATCGAGTTGTATATTGAATATATTAATTTGTTTCATAACTCCCATGATGACTTATAATGTAGGGTTAAAGGTTAAAAATGTCCATTTAAGATTAAGCAAGGGGTGTTTAAGTAATTCAAATAAAAGGGTATTTTTGTTATTTTCCATCTGAGGAGAGAAGAAAGGGTATGCAATCATCATCGGAAAACAGAGGAAGAAAAAATTGGTCGCGGGTTGAGAATTGGGTGGTTCTTAAGTTAGTCCGGCAACGTGGGTCTCGGTATTCAGAGACTGTAAACACTAAGGATTATTGGGAGTGAGTCTCACATTCACTAATTTAGGAAATTATCATGAGTATAAGTAAACGAATACATCTCCATTGGTATGAGAGTTTTTTGGGAAGTTGAAAGCAAAGTCAGGAGAGTTTATGTTCTGGATAATAATGATATCGGTGATTCCTAACAAAAATACTGTTATTCAGCGACTTTGGACCTCAAGAGGAAATAAAAATAAATAAATATATAAAAGCCAATTAATTAAAATTATGTCTTTATTAATAATATATATATGGGTTATTTTCCAAATTGCCAAATTTGAAATTCTAACCGAAAAAAAAAAGATTTTGATAGTTTTTTTTTTTTTACCATTTTTTAAATATTAAAATATGAAGATAAAAGGAAGTCACTTCTGCATGTCATTTCCGATAATATTACATTAAAAAGAAAGAGACAAAAAATAAAAAATAAAAATCATTCCAAAACTAAATATCTCATACCACCATAAAATTATTTCCTTTTTTATCACAAAAATACAAATGATGACGTGTGAATAAGAATTTTAAATTAATAATCATTAAATTCATATTTTTTTTTTTACTTTTTAATTAAATTTAACTCAAGATTAATAATTGATACATGTAGTCCAATGAAAAAGTCAACTACTTTAAAGATTAAAAAAAGATTAATATTTTATAAAATTATAAAATTAATTATAAAAAATAATTATTAGTAGTTAAAAAAGACAACTATATTTTCTAAAGAGTTCTTAGAATCTAATCCTCCACTCTCCATATTCTCAAAAAAAAAAAAAAAAAAAAAATCTTTATATTTCCTCTTTATTAAAATTGTAATAAATTTAATATATATATTTTTAATTGGTTTCAAAATTTCTACAGTAAAAAAAAAATTTATTATTTGTAAAAAAAGTAGCATTAATTGTCTTGTCGTATTTTTTTTTTTTTTTTTATAAAGATAATATATTTATTTATCCACTCCTTGTCATCAATATATTATATGGTTATTTAATTAATAGGGATTAGAAATGGAATTATATAAAACTAAAATTTTAAATTAGAGAAATTTGAATCTTAGGGTTGACCAATTATTATTATTATATTTTTTTTGGATAAATATTTTTTTAAAATAAAATAATTAATTTTAGAGAAATTTAAATCGCTTTCAAATAAGATAATTAATGATCCAACCCTAGCCGTTGGGCTTAGGCAATTAATTGAGGTGTGAAGTTTGAGGAGATGAACATGGACTTGTTTTTCAGTTTCGACGAAACGCTGTCGTTTAACGAGAATTAAGAGGCTAAATAAATTAAAGAATTTAATTGGGTTTAATTAATTAGTTTATAATATTCTATATTTCCTCGTTTCATTCGATTTAAGTCAAAACTGAGAGAAAATTAATTTTATGAATTATTTGTAATTTTTTTAATAATCAACATCAGCCTTTGTAATAATTATTTATAATTGTATTTATATCTATTTTATTATAATTAATAATGGAAATATATAATTTAACTTAAAAAGGAACTATGATGCTCGTTAGAATTTAAAAATAATTATATTTTAAAAAATATTTATTTTATTAAGCAAACAAATTAATTTAAAATAGGCTGCACGTTTAAATTTTTAATTCAATCTTAAATATTAAATATCATTAAAGGGAAAAGATTCAAATTACTTTTAAGCCTTACCCATTTTAAAAAACATCACGACGTTTTAATTACTACGTTATGTTTAAATTGACATTTAAATCTTAAATTATTTAAATAAGTCCAACTGCATTTAGTTTTTGGGTAAGGTTGTGTTTGTTATGTATACCAAACATTGATAAAAGGTCTGGTTTGACTTTAAATTATTCCGATATCTTCTTGATATGAAAGCTGGCCAATATAATTTTTTTTTTTTTTTGAATTTTGTAGAAAAAATGTGATCTCGGGAACATGAAAACTGTATTTTTTTTATAAGAAAATTACTGTATTACCCTTGATCTTTCATAAATGTTTTAAAACGATAATTGGAAGAGAACATGAATGTAATAGTTCTTATAGATTGGATTATGTTTGAAAAAAAAAACATTTTCACTCTAACTATTCGTCCAAAGTTCTTATAGATTTTCTACTTTAAGGGTAATTTAGGAATTTTTGAAATAAATAGAAAATTTCGGGAGTATATTTTATAATCTAGTTTATAGACCGCCTCTTTGAAAATTGAATATTTTTATACATTTTCATTGACTTAGATGAAGGGGACAAGAGTGATTAATTAACTTATCTAGCTTTTAATATAAAGAATATTGAAAATTTGGGCATTCTAATTTTTCAAAGTTTGAATCGCGTTCGGGTGTTCGGTAGAGAGGATCTTTCCTTTGATCCTTGAAGTTGGCAACTATGACTTTAGTATATTTAGATTGTAATAGCTTATCCACAACTCGTAGATATTATTCTCCATGTGCTTTTGGTTGGGGGCTTTCTCTCAAGGTTTTAAAACAGGTTCGTTGGAGAGAGATTTACACATCCTTACAAAGAATGCTTCGTTCCCTTTTACAACCGGTGTGAGATCTCGCAATTCACTCCTGCGTTCTCGCTTTCACTCATTCCCCTCTCCAATTGACGTGGGATCTCACAATTCACCCCTCTTCAAAGTCCAGCGTCCTCGTTGCCCTCGTTCCTCTCTCAAATCAATGTCGGGTCTCACATTTATGATTTGAAAGAGCTTTTGAGCCCAACCCAATAACACAAAACCCTATTATTAAAAGAAAAATCATAATGAAGTATTGAATATGGTGAAAATAAAGTTTAGGAGTAACTAATTTCACCAAAAATTCTTGCAAGAACACTCACCATCTCTAAAATGGTGAAATCTATTCCTATCTCTCATGATAATTTCCCTGTTAAAAAGTTTAGATATCATCTTCGTTACATCATGGCAATCCCAACAAACTCTGAGGTTCTTCACAACTCTTATGGGCAACCCCTCCTCCACTCTCATCAATCCAAATGCAATGGCCATCTTCTCACTGTGTTTACACAGAGCATCTTCTTTTTCTTCTTCTTCAACATCAAACATAACAGGGTTCGTGTTTGCAACGTACCCTGCTAACTTCAGCCGCTTAGAAATCTCTCCCCACATCCTTTCGATGGCTTCGTAACTCGGGTGGGACTTATCACCTACAAAGAATTCATGAACTTCTCCATTCACCTCCATAACGCTGCAACCGGGGGGCTTGCTCACGCGTTCTGCTATCATGGACTGGCGCACATTACTTACCCTTTCCCAGTTCTTTGTGTCGGCGTATATGTTCGATAACAGCACATACGCACCGTGATTCTTGGCTTCAAGTTCTACGAGTTTCCTTGAGGCAACCTCGCCCAACTCCATATTCTTGTACATTCTACAGGCATTCAGCAATGCTCCCCATGCACCTGCGTGTGGCTTAATCGGCATGGTGTTTATGAAGTTTAGAGCCTCGTCTAATCGCCCAGCACGACCGTACAAATCAACCATGCAACCGTAGTGCTCGAGCTGCGGTTCGATATCATAGTCCCTCTTCATCGAGTCGAAATGCAAACGGCCTTCATCCACCAATCCGACTACGCTACAACCTCTTATAACAGAAATGAATGTGATTTCATTAGGGGCAATTCCTTCACGTTTCATAAGGGAAAACAGTTCAAGGCACTTCTCGCCATAGCCATTCATGGCAAGCCCACCTATGGCACTACTCCATGTATATACATTCTTTTCATTCATTTGCCAGAAAACCTCCATGGCCTTGTCAACATTTCCACATTTGAAATACATATCAACAAGTGCAGTACCTAGAGTGACAGTCATCCTAATCTTGTTCCTTTCTATATAAGCATGAGCCCATCTTCCTTGGTCTAGGGCACCCAAGTGAGTGCAGGCAGTTAAAACAGAAACCATAGACACCTCATTGACCTTGACACCATCCATTTGCATTAGCTTAAACAGATTTAAAGCTTCCCTTGATTGCCCCCTCTGTGCATAACCAGCAATCATAGCATTCCATGATAC